AGGATTGGTGAAAAGAATGTCATTCAAGTGATTACTGATAATGCTTCAAACTATGTTTTGGCAGGTAAATTTTCTAACTTGTTTTTTTTTCTTTACAAATTATAAATTGTACTTAGTTTTTATTGTCTTGTTTCTAAAATTATTATTTTTGTGTTATTAGCAAAATATTTGATGGCTAAGTATCCTCATTTGACTTGGACACCGTGTGCTGCCCATTGTATGGATCTCACTCTGGAAGACATTAGCAAGTTACCTATTGTCAAGAGGACTATTGAGAGGGCTATAGCACTAACGGAATACATATACAACCATCCGGGCCTATTAAACTTGATGAGAAAGTTTACAAGTCAAAGGGAATTGATTAGGCCGGCCAAAACCCACTTTGCTACTTCCTATCTTACATTACAAAGAATTTTTAAGCAAAAGAGGAACTTGAGGGAGATGTTCAATTCTATTGAGTGGAGTGATAGCAAGTGGGCAAAGGAAGCCAAGGGTAGAAGGGTTTCAGAGACATCAATGATGCCTTCATTTTGGAATAACATTGTATATATTCTTAAGGTATGCAGCCCTCTTGTTCATGTCTTACGCTTGGTAGATCATGAAAACAAGCGGCTATGGTTACATCTATGAGGCTGTTGATAGAGCAAAGGAAGCAATTCTGAAGGCATTTGATGGTAAAAGGGAAAAGATATCAGAGATTTTTGAGATTATTGATAGGAGATGGGAATGTCAGCTCCACCAACCATTGCATGCGGCTGGTTTCTATTTAAACCCTCAATTTTATTATGATGATGTGGAAAGAATTGATTCACATGAATAAATTATAAATGGCCTTTATAAAGTAATCCAGATGTTTGAAAGTGACAAGAACAAGTTGAATACAATCATTGATGAATTATCAAGGTATAAGAATGCAGAAGGGATTTTTGGTAATAACATGGCTATTTGGCAGAGAAAGATAAAAGCACTGGGTAAATATTCATAATTTCATATATAGTCAATTAATATTTGTGTTTAGTTATTTTAATAATTGCTATTTTTATTTAGTAAATTTGCTCATTTAGTTAATCTTTATATTTTTCAGCTAATTGGTGGACAGCATTTGGTGCTTCAGCTCCAAATCTACAAAAAACTGCTATCAGAATTCTTAGTTTAACATGCAGTGCATCTAGTTGCAAGCGGAACTGGAGTGTGTTTGAGCATGTATGTCTTTAATAAATTTACTTGTGTAATTTATCTTATATTTATATTTTACATTTAAATTTCAAATTTTTAGTAATTCAATGCTATTTTATGAATTCACAGATTCATACCAAAAAGAGGAATCGCTTGGATCAAAAGCGATTAAATGATTTGGTGTTTATTAAGTTCAATCAGATGCTGAAAGAGAGTTTTGATTCCCGCAATTACACCGATCCCATCTCTCTAAAAGATATTGATGAAAGTAATGAGTGGTTATTGGGAGAGATGGATGGGGCTGAAGATGATTTGGTATTTGATGATGGTGATTCATTGACATGAGGAGATGTTGCTTGTGCTTCTGGAGTTGAAGAGCCACTAAGATATACAAGATCTAGAGGCTCAAGCTCAACTTCACAGTTACGAGCCAAGTGGCCCGAGGCAACCAATTCCAGAAGACCTAGCACATCAAATTCCCAATTTCATTTGGAAGATGAAGATGAATTTGACATAGAAGAAGAAACAGAAGAAGAGAATATCAATGATTACAAATCTGATGAGTATGAAGATGATATGGAATTTCCAAATGAAGAAGAGAGAAATGACCAGGAAGAATGAATGCTGGAATCTTGAGGAAAAAAAAAATCAAGAATGGATCAATGGATCAATGGATCAATGGAGTCAATGGACATATGAGAATATATGATATTGAGATTTTGTATAGGCAGTAAAGTTGCTTTTTGTATAGGTTATGCAATGCTGGAATGATGATTGATGAAAGAACCTTTTTTTATATTAGAAAATTGATATTGCATATTTAAATACTTAATATATAGCTTGTTTTTTGAAATATTTTTCAAATCTGATTCCTTACTTGCTTATTGCAATAAATGATTAATTTTTATATTGATTTTGTTACGTGTGAGTGTAACAGTGTGAGCCATGGAGAGGATAATGATACCAAGAGGTAAGTGTCTTTTAAGTGTTAACTTCATTAATGCTGATTATCTAATGTTGTATAGGATAATAGGACCATAGGTTGTGCTCATATTGTCATATACTCATATTCTTTAATTGAGTGTTAACTTCATTAATGCTGATTTCTTAATTCTGTAATTAACTACTTTGCATATTTTCGTGATTAACCAATTGAAACATTGCTGATGCATTTTCTTTAATTCTTTTATATTTAATGCTGATCGCATTTTGCATATCCTATAATTCTTTTAAATTTAATCATGCTAATTTCTTAATTTTTATATTGAACCATTGCTGATTTCATACTTTATCAATTTATGAGTTTATCTCTGATTTTTATTTCTGTAGATTCAAGATTGATCATTTCCTGATTCATTAACTTCAGATTTCTGATAAGCTGATTACATTACCTCTAATAAGTAATGTCTAATAATCTAAGTATCTAATTCTAACCAATTGAGCTAATAATTAAGTAATTAACTTTGTTTTTTGATATTTTCCTGATTTCTTAGAATTTTTACATGTTATTTTTTTCTATTTTTTTAATTTTTTTTTAATTTTTGCGCCTTTTTTAATAAGGCGCGCGCCTCGCCTTGCGCCTCAGGCACATTTGGAACCTGTCGCTTTTTGTGCGCCTTTCGTTTTTAAAACACTGAGGGTGATACACATTCAACTCATTCCTTAGATTCCTCAAACTAACATAGTACTCCTCAAGACTATGATTACCCTATTGCAAATTAAAATACTCTTGATAGAGCTGGTATACTCTAGTGGTATTGTCCTGCCCTGAGTAAAGCTTCTTTGCATGATCCCAAATCTCCTTGGCTGTGTCTAAGAAAATGAAGTTCACACTAATCTTAAGTTCCATTCTGTTCCATAACCAAGTCATAATCTGTGCATCTTCTTGTTCCCAATCATTGTACTCCTATGAGTCAACTAGGGGTTTGTCTTCTCTCACATGCTTTACTTTCTTCTTAGCTCTGAGAAACACTTCAACAGATTTAGCCCAAGGCAGATAATTCTCTCCATTCAGTTTGATGGAGGTCATTTGCAAATTCAAGTAATCAGGGGGAATCATAACAGACTTGTGTTCACTACTGTCTCCCATAGCTGCCATAAATTTTTTTTTCTTCACACTAATATGTTACCCTACCTTACCAACAATCACCACACTGCACTCCTATAGCTGAACGATCACCACTGTTTCACTCCTATGGCTGACCATTGCTGAAACATTCACTATCACAGATTTCAGCAATTGTAATCAGCACTGTTCTCCACTTTCGGCACCACACAAAAACATCACACCAACACTCCATACATCTGATACTAGAACTTCAACCCACCTATCTGAACCACACATTTGAACATAGACCACGAAACTACTGTAGCAGCCCTCTTCGGTTCATCGATTAGAGGGTTTCCTACCAACCACTTGAAACCACCACACCACAATCAATCAGAGGCATTAAAACCTCCAGAAGGAAAAACAACCACTCCTTTTCAGACTTTTTGTCAAACTCCAAGAAACCTAAGAGAAATATGCAAAATACTAAACTAGAGTGTGAGAAGACTATACAGATCTGAACTGATTTAACCTGGCACTGATACCATGATAAAGTTCAGATCTGTATATCTGTTAGTTTCAGAATACAAGAGAAAAGAAAGATAGAAAGAGGAGAGAAGAGAGAGGAAGAGAGGAGAAGAGTGAAGAGGAGAGAAGAAAGAAAGACTGGTTCGAGCTAGAGAGAAAAATCACCCTCTCTAGTTGGCCAGGTTATATTTATAGTTTTCTATATTAACCACAAATTGACTCTTGTCCCTACTTAAGTATGGAACACATCACTAAACTCAACATTACACCTCATACTAAACATAAAAAAAAAAGATTAATCTGCCCCTGTATAGTCGACACTAACAGGCAATAATAAAGAAAACAAGTAAATGCATAAAGGTATACTCTCCCTTTGTCAGGGAAAAGGTCTCAAGTTACACCCTATGTAAGGTCGGACAATCAGCCAGCTAACTTACCAAGGTTTTGAACCAGTCTTGGATGAATCACATATGTGACAAGTTGGAGCTTTACGACATATATTCTGATATTCTCCAACTTGAGGGGAAGTGTTAGAAGTTAGCTTATGTTCCTGTTGTTCTTTAGAGTCGACAGTTGGCCATTTTTTGTTTAGTTGTTCTTTTATTATCTAAGCAGGGGTATTTTTATAATCTAAATCATTATTATTAGGCTATTAGCATAATAAATAAAGGGTGGCAGTTGAGATCACTTTTATGATCTCTTCTGGATATCTCAGCCCTAGTTTCTTCTCTACTCTCTCCTGTCTTCTTATTTCAGACCAGGTTTTCTTTATTTCTTCATTAATTAACAACAGATTAGGTCTGTTCACGGTGATGAAAAACCATAAATCAAAATTACCGATCAGCTACTGTAAAAAAACCCAATATTGCTTCATGATTGACATGGTTAACAGATAATGATATATRGGTCTGCCTCCTCTAGTAGTGTGCTATGCTTCCAGGCATGTCTGGGATCTTTTCATACTTCAAGCCACCCAAATTGTCCTTCCTGACAACTAAGTATCAGAAAGAGCACTGATCTTTTCCCTTTCTTTCTTATTTATTTTCGTTTTCTAGTTGTTATGAGATGCTGCTGAAACATGGTATTTAGAACCAGAATGAGGTTCTAAATAGCCACATGTAAATATAACCATGAAATAACTAGTATTTAGTGGAAGGTCTACAGCTGAAATTCAACTGGCATTTCATTGTGAAAGAGAAATTCATTTGTATAGTAGAGAAAAACAGCATAGGTTAATCTTTAAACTCACCAGCCATGATGCCTCATTTTGGAAAGTTGATTTAATGTCCAAATTTTCCGGATGAATAAATTGTTGTATTAAAGCCATTTTCTCAGAAAGTTGTTCATCATGTTTCACATCTTCTGGAAGTGAGGCAAATACACGGGTATATAATTTTGTCATTACATACTTCTCAAGACCCTGCAATTGAAAGGAAACATTGCACATCATGCACAAGGAACTTAACTTATCACTAGAAATAAGAATTCACCTATCAACAGCTTCACCTAGTGAACTTCAACAACTGCAACAGAAAATTAAAACCTATTCTATAAAATTATTGTCCTTGAAGAATGGGTAATGAAGAACAGAAAATTAAAGCCTATTCTATAAGAGTATTGTCCTTAGAGAAGGGATAATGAAGAACAACGCAAAACCAATGTGACATTTGAGGGTACAGTTCTTTTGTTTAAAATCAATTCTATGCACCCGTTTAAGGCTCAGTTCATACCAAGAATGTGACCTTTGAAGGGACCTTAAGATGTCACACTATCTTTGCAGGGAAACTACAGCTACCTTTGCTTGTCGGCCTCTTAAACCTGATTTAACAGTGAAGTCACTTGACTTTTCTCACTTCCGTGCCTACTGTCTACTCTATTGACCCTTGCATTGCAATTAACCACAATCTATGAAACTTTTGGGTCTAAATTTACTCCCAACTTGAGGGGGAGTGTAGAGAACACTGATGTGGGCCCCACAGCTGTGGTCCCACTCTGTCCGTAGGGTAGAATGTATCTAGTCATAGCTGATGGTCA